GCTTTGTTAGCCCAGTTTTACAACACATCCAGCTGCATCAAGGAACTGGAGAGGAGGCTTGATTCCCAGTCGAAGCTGAAAAACAATAAGGCCAGTGGATTAGATTGTGTATACAATGAGTATACCAAAGCGTCTGTAGACAAAATGTTACATGTCTATAGTAAACTGTTTAATGTAATCCTGGACACCGGCTTTGTTCCCGACAGGTGGTTAATTGGTGAAATAAAGCCCATATATAAAAACAAAGGTGACCCAAGCGACCCTGGTAACTATAAGGGCATAACGATAGTAAGCTGCCTCGGCAAGTTATTCACCTCAATAATCACACTCCCATTTTATCACACATCTTACATTATCCACATATACATTTCATTCAGTTTCATTTACCATATTTCATGTACATTATATACATATCAGACTTACATTCATCGTATATCATCTCATACATCATCCATATGTATCATTCATTTTCATTTATGATATTTCATGTGTCACAGAGTTGCACAAACTAGATGCTTTGTTAGCCCAGTTTTACAACACATCCAGCTGCATCAAGGAACTGGAGAGGAGGCTTGATTCCCAGTCGAAGCTGAAAAACAATAAGGCCAGTGGATTAGATTGTGTATACAATGAGTATACCAAAGCGTCTGTAGACAAAATGTTACATGTCTATAGTAAACTGTTTAATGTAATCCTGGACACCGGCTTTGTTCCCGACAGGTGGTTAATTGGTGAAATAAAGCCCATATATAAAAACAAAGGTGACCCAAGCGACCCTGGTAACTATAAGGGCATAACGATAGTAAGCTGCCTCGGCAAGTTATTCACCTCAATAATCTCCGATCGCCTCCAAGCTTTCTCGGACTCAATCAATCTTATGAAGGAAAACCAAGCCGGCTTCAGGAAGAAATACTCAACTCTTGACATTGTTTTTGTATTAAAACTCTTAATTGAACTGTACTTAAACCAGAACAAGAAATTATTCTGTGCTTTTATTGATTTTAGTAAAGCTTTTGATACTATTAATAGAAACAGTCTATGGTTCAAAATGCTAAACTCAAATCTTGGTGGGAAGTGTTTTAATGTTATATATAATATGTATCAAGGTATAAAATCATATGTTTCCCTATAAGGAAATAATTCTTCTTTATTTTTTTGTAAGATTGGCGTGAGACATGGTGAAAACTTGTCACCGTTCCTGTTTGCCCTTTTCTTAAATGATCTAGAAACGTTCCTTGAAAATAAAGATGTATCCGGTTTAAAATAAGTAAGCGAAAAGTTCGATTTGCAATTAAGTTTATATGTAAAGCTCTTTATGTTGTTATATGCTGATGACACAGTATTGCTTGCTGAATCAGCATGTGAATTGCAAAGAGCACTTAATGCTTTTGAAGAGTATTGTGAATTATGGAAACTCAAGGTCAATATTTCAAAAACAAAAGTAATAGTCTTTTCCAAACGCCACAATACTAGAAATTTACAATTTTATTTTCAACAAATTCTGTTAGATATTGTGAAAGAATTTTCGTATCTTGGTATAACTTTTAGTAACACTGGTAGATTTAGTAAAGCGATGAAGACATTATCAGACCAAGCTTCAAAAGCAATGTACGCTATCTTCAGAAAGACACGATTGCTGGATATTCCAATTGATTGTCAACTTAAACTCTTCGGCCAGTTAGTACAACCGATTCTTCTATATGCAGCTGAAATTTGGGGATATGAGAGTGTAACAATTATAGAACGTGTTCACTTAAAATTTTGCAAATTTATCTTAAGATTAAAGCAATCCACGCCTGACTACATGGTTTACGGTGAGCTTGGAAGGTATCCTCTAGAAATTCAAATAAAAGTCAGAATGGTTGCATTTTGGGGAAAGATCATATTAAATTCTGAAAAATTGTCCAGTAGAATGTATCGACTTCTTTTTCATATTAATTCCACAAATAATATACATTTTGGATGGTTAACAACAGTAAGAGATATTTTGTATAAGGTTGGTTTGAATTGGATTTGGGACACCCAGTCCTTCCCCAGTTGAACTTGGTTAAAGGCAAATACTAAAGCCATCTTGTTAGATAACTTTTAACAAAAATGGAATGAATCTGCTACTTTATCTTCCAAGGGTAAATACTATACCATGTTCAAAGATAAACCTCGCCTTGAGGAATATTTATTATCACTACCATACAACTTAGCGAAGTGGATAGTCAAATTTAGAACAGCTAATCACAGATTACCAATTGAAAAGGGAAGATGGTTCAATGTTAATAAAGATCAGAGATTCTGTTCATTATGCAACAGTTATATTGGAGACGAATTCCACTTTCTTCTACAATGTCCATCGCTTCATGAATTAAGAAATAAATATGTCCCGAGTTATTATTGTAAGTATCCCACTATTGAAATATTTAATCAGCTAATGTTTTGCTCCTACAAACCTCTTGTTATAAAACTGGCGAAAAACTTAAAGGATGGTTTACAACTTTTTAAATAAGAATTCAATTGCTGTATATACTATGTTTGTAATTACTTTATGTTTATGCACACTGATACACGTCTGTAAATATAAATATATATATTGTATGCTCTATATCACAATACGTGATTCATGAGTAATAAACTTCTGTTCTGTACACGCGAGGCAGACATTTGGCTTTCAGAATACATCTCAGGCCGACTTGCGGTATTTCTTTGATGTGAATGGTGTTGTTACAATAAATTAAAAGTTTTACAGTTGTGGACGAGCTCACGATGGCAGGTGAGAGATACTCGTAAGGTAATCATTACTTGATTGGATTAATCAGCCGATGGTTAATTGAGTCATGAGTCATGCGGACTACGTCACCTCATAGTGGATGGAAGGTTCCCTTCACCTCTCGCAGTGGAACCATTATGGAAACGATGGACCACGAACAAACAACCACTTGGAGGGATGGCATCACCGTATACAACGACTTGTCTCCAAGGCTCAAGGCGGGGTGGTGGACGGGCGCCATGGAGATACTGAGCAAGCTTGTTTCTTTCCGTCTTCTCTAGTCTCTGGATCACTCTGATGAAGGCAAAAATGTTCGGAACCGTGGTTAGTCGGTGATATATTGTTTAATGACAAAAATTATCTACAAATCAATGGTTACACAATAAGTCACCAATGTTCCCATTTCTATCTGACAATGCACCCATCCTATAGTTGTTGGTTTGAATCCGAGATTCCTCCTGCCGTATTCGACGTACTTCTCAAAATTAGAAATAAGGGGCTTTTATTTTAATATAATTTTGGTGAGAAAAAAAAAAACAGAGTTGAAAGATTGTAAATTTCGTAGTTTATGCTGACAGCCTCAAATGATACAAAAGAAAAGTATGTGCGTATCATACACGACAGATATATTTTCCAGAATTTAATTGCCCATAATTAAGGGTGCATATAACACACGAGTGCGTATTATACACGAATAAATAAGTCTTGTGTACATTGATCAATCAGAAGGGGTGCTAATTGGGATTGTTCACTAGGCAATATATCAGCAAATATCGCCGTGGCCGCTTATTACGTCGAATACGGTAATTATGATCCTTAGGATATCAGCACATAGCAATCCTGTGAGTTTCACAGTGGTAAATGTCTAAGATCTAAAACAACCATACTCCCACATGCCTTTTACCAGACGTGATATGACTGAATTATTGTTTAAAGTATTAAACCAAACTCACAAATTAATAAGATGCTGTTCCATTAGCCCAAAGGCTGATACGGGGGTGGGGTTTCAGAGTGTAAGCATTACTCCATGTCATCATGGTAAGATATAGAATTCATGAAGCCTGGTCATTAATATTGGGACTTCAGAATGTACCTTATATTGTAGGTGAATAGAGTTGAAATGGGGCTTAACATTGCATCCAAGACACATTTTACTGACTCAGAGACAGCCATTCCTTGCTTTATCCCGTTAACCCGAGCACAGGGCGGGGTAACCGCTAGTAACATCTTTTACGACTCGGCTAAAGGGTCAAACCACCGACCTTACACTCTCCAGGCAGACAGATGCTGTATCTACACCACAGAGGTGATCTTACAGAGTCATTTGAACATCCAAAACAACTAAAATATACAGTAGCATGAAATAACAAAACTTCTTTACAAAAATAATGCAGTAGTATTCTTGTTGGTCATTTTGCAAAATGACTCAGTTCTCACAAAAATATAATTTTCATCATAATCTGAAAAACAACAAAGATAACATGTACTTGTATAATATTATAATGTTCGTAATCGCTGCTGATCGAATAATGTAACCCGGGATACCATAACGTGTGAGTATCGTGTGCTGTTATTCCCACGATATCGTGCATATCATGGTAAATGTTTCATTATTTACACGATATATCGTGCATATTATGGTTAAAGTTTGGTTATTTACACGATGTCGTGCATATTGTGATAAATTGTCTGTTATTTACACGATATCGTGCATATTGTGATAAATTGTCTGTTATTTACACGATATCGTGCATATTGTGATAAATTGTCTGTTATTTACACGATGTCGTGCATATTGTGATAAATTGTCTGTTATTTACACGATATCGTGCATATTGTGATAAATTGTCTGTTATTTACACGATATCGTGCATATTGTGATAAATTGTCTGTTTATTTACACGATGTCGTGCATATTGTGATAAATTGTCTGTTATTTACACGATATCGTGCATATTGTGATAAATTGTCTGTTATTTACACGATATCGTGCATATTGTGATAAATTGTCTGTTATTTACACGATATCGTGCATATTGTGATACATTATCTGTTATTTACACGATATCGTGCATATTGTGATAAATTGTCTGTTATTTACATTGTGGAATATGTACTCTTTATGTACACGATATCGTGCGAATAGACATTGGCACACACCGAACCGTTTTATGTCAAACGTTTGTTGATTGGCTTGAATCCGGGAACTATTTGCATAAATATACAATCGTGACTCAGCGGTCTTGCTAACGCCATTCATAAGGTGCGCAGGCTTGAGAAGCGCACACAACTGCTGGTCTCGTCGTACAGATAGCAACGAGTCAATCTCATCTGACAGTATGGAAGAACGTGGAAACTGGAACAAAAAATTGGAATTTCTGCTTGCCACGATCGGGTACGCCGTTGGACTGGGAAATGTGTGGCGGTTCCCTTACCTGTGTTTCCGGAGTGGGGGAGGTAGGTTTTTCTTTGTACAGTACATTCGTACATGGGTTCAAACGCTCTTATCCCCAGAGAGAGTGGATTAGCCCTTGCACCACGTGCGATAAATATACAACCGCAATATATTAGCTGTTATGTATACACATGGATATCGATTCATATAGAAAATGGTTATACAACCTCTGTTTTGTTATCGTCCGAGTGACGGATTAGTTATTTAGCCTTGGAAAATAATGCCATGTGAGAGTGTTACGGTCTAAATTGCACCAAATGGCCAGATTAACCTACATACTCGGGGAAAGGACACATCCCGACTGTGTTAATTATGTATATGGTCGGAATTTTACGTGTAAACAAGGATGTCATCCCCAACCACGCTCGACTTTCATGTTTCCTTGATATGCTTATGCAACTAGTGGTCGAAAGAGTTACTATGGTAACAGTTTTACCCTCCCAACTACTAGTAACTTCACTGCACTAAAGTACTTGGCCTGTAAAATCATACTGAATTTTATTTGTCAAACATGGCCTATTTTGTTTATAAATATTGATGACAGCTGGCTGAATTGTCAGTACGATGAGGTGATGTTGTTAGGGAGGACGAAATATTATATGTATTTTTTTTATTTTAATTTCCCAAACACTCCAACTTATGCAGGTTGATGTGAGGAGATTGTAATTGGAGAATTACTTATGTCATACATCCCTTCTAACCCACCTAGGAGCCTGACATATATTTTCAACTTTGAGTGGTTAACTAGTGTTTATGTCATATATTTGGTGACTGATATCCTTAACACTGCATTATAATACACCTACGCCAGAGTCTTGTGTGAGTATTAAGATACAACAACATTCTGCTGGAATACTCAATGCAAACACTCTGCTGGATCACTCAACATGGAAAGGGGCGGTCGGGTAGCCTAGTGGTTAAAGCGTTCGCTCATCACGTCGAAGACCCGGGTTCGAATCCCGACATGGGTACGATGCGTGAAGCCCATTTCTGGTGTCCCCCGCCGTGATATTGCTGGAATATTGCTAAAAGCGGTGTAAAACCAAACTCACTCACTCACTCAACACGGAAATATTACACCTAAAAAGCTAATATTATTTTATCTTTTTCTATTGAGCTTATTCACACATCTTACACAGTGAGTGATACGTTGCAAAAACATAATAATATTAAGAAGAAACTACTGACATAGATGGTGTGAGAGCTTCCAGTAGTAACCGCACAGCTGCAGGTGAAGTATACGTTTCACATACACTGTACATTTAAAATTTATTACTGATTATATAACATGGACAAATAAACTTGATAAAGGAGACCAAAACTGGAGAACTTGTCATGTATTCCACAGTAAATATTATTTAGCTTCTGAGATGACAAGAATTTTTGTCACAGGATGCTTGGATAAAATTATAAGATATTGCCTGTGTCAAGTTTTCCCTGAACCTGAGGGTATTTTAACTAAGGAATGGATGACTGAGTGCATCCTCAATTCATATTTGCTGAAGTTTCTTGCACATACATGTATATTTACAAAGGTGTTAAAAAAATAGCATATATTCATATATGAGCAAATATGGATTATCATTAAGTCACTGTCAAGAAAGCCTGCTAAAAAAGGCCCTTTGAAGTCTCACTAGTATGAACTGTACTTGTCCCGAGAGGCATTTTCTTTTGTCATCCCCACGCGTTATGTCTGTGTTTGGTGCTGACAAAGCCAGCATCTTACACAACACAGAAGGCGTTGTTTCTCCATTCCCGAAGAGAGACATGTGTCCTCATGCTGATAGTCAGAAGGAAAATGGACCTTTAAACAGTTAAGCACTATTATTTGTCATTTTGGCTCATATAAATGCACAGTAATTATGGTAATGCTTATACATAATATAGACTGGTAGTGCATGCACATACATATGCAATTTTGGGCCATGTATCAAGCCTAACTTTCACATGTTTGCACATGTTTATTTTATTGATGGCAGTCATGTTTGTCCCTATTGTGCTGAGATTTCTAATCTAGAAAAACATGTTCATTAAATTAGCACTGGTTATTTATGTTACCTGTGGGACAGGTATTCAGTTCTTGCTTGTAAGAACGAGATGGACAAGAATGTATGGTGTAAGGGTCTTATAAACTTGAATAAGCTTGATAAGCCTTAGAATCCTCCTTCAAAGAAAGGTACAGAATAGCCAGTTTGTGGTTCTATTTCCATCACAGTTGGAGCTTCATGTGTTTAATTGAAGATGACAAGCTGTGCAATTGATATACTGTTAAAGTTGTGTCAAATCTATCTCACACTTTCCAGCTATATGGCGGCGGTCTGTAAATAATCGAGTCTGGACCAGACAATCCGGTGATTGATATTATGAGCATCGATCCATGCAATTGGGATCAATGACATGCTTCAACAAAGTCAGCGAGCCTGACTACCCGATCCAATTAGTCGCCTCTTACAACAAGCATAGTCGCCTTTTACGACAAGCATAGTGGCCTTAATCTGAAAGGTGAATTATCAACAAAACAATGTGATAATGATAACGATGCTCATCACCATGACCGCCACCACTATCAACACTGTTTATACTTGTCCAGCCAATATGTATCAGCCCTTCTCATTGCAAATACCCTGAAAGAACAGTGTTTCAGTCGACCGGTAATTCCAAGTGTTTTTACCAGTAAGATAAGATGAGATAGGCTATATTATACCAAGGGAAGTTTTTCTTGCAATATTCATATCATTTTCTACAATACATTGTAGTTGCCAGACAGGTAAACTATTCTTCGAGCTGTGTCATATGATGCTGATTGATTAGATTGACAGTAATCGTTATGAAAGATTGGCAGAACTGTCTGTTCTCATTTCCAGAATTGGAAAGAGAAAGTTTCTGTTAATAGATAATTTACAACAACAAAAGGGTAGTTGTCAATATTAAGATGCCTTAAGTATGCTTTGGACGGGAATATCAGAAACTGAGGCCAACACAAATACTGTTGAAATATGTATGTTTACACCTTATGCATGTTCTCTTTACGCCAGGCAAAGTAATAACAAGGTCCAATTTTATAATGATTGTTATCTTTTCCTTCAAAAACTTTGTTGCTGAACGTGACATCCCATAACTGTTCATGACTCAGTCACCTATTTCAATGGACAGGAACCAGGAACAATTATCTTGTCTCAGTAACCTGTTATGAAGATTTTTCTGCTTCACCCTGGCTGGTTATTTATCCCTTTAGTTTAACCGGTATTTAATGAAGTACAACCCTTAGTTTGCATGCAGGCTCAAAAGCTAGTTGCCCCCATTCATATAGTCCCTGGAAAGATCCAGGTAAGGATTCATATTCAGCAACTCCTGCTTATTTTAAGAGGTAACAAACGGATGTCTTTGTATCCCAATTGCATGGATTGATGATCATGATGTCAAGCACTGGGTTGTCTGGTTTAGAGTTGATTGTTTACTAATCGCTGTCATGTCTGGATTATTGCTGAGCGCGACGTTAAACAACAAGCAGACAACTTAATACAAGCATATTCTGTATAATGATATGCCATTTTAGTGTGGTTCAGTTAAATGACTTTTAGGAATTACAGAGGTTATATCAGTGGGAAGTTTAAGGTGTTTCATTTAGATTAAGTCACAACTGGTTGGTGTTATTAGAATGCGACAAAGGCTATCGGAATCGTGTGGTCTGGTTCGCTGACTTGTTTGATGCATGTCATTGTATCTCAATTACATACGATTCTCATGATGTCCGTCACTGATCCAGACTAGATTGTTGCTGCCTTTTGGCCGGGGAAATCCGAACAAAGTAGCCAAACCAGACTGGCATAGATTTCGTCACATGACCAAACTGTCTCTCGACTACTGTTCACTTTATTGCCCATCAGCGCTTGTGTTCGCAATTGTCTGTTTTTGTTATTGATAATCATATATACTACTTTTTTGTTACATACAGCAAAAATTATATCAGCCCTTGACACTGTGCCAGGTCACATTGCAGAAAACTATCATAGTGCTACGACAGTCTGGGGGCGGTCGGGTAGCCTAGTGGTTAAAGCGTTCGTTCGTCGCGTCAAAGACCTGGGTTCGATTCCTGACATGGGTACAATGTGTGAAGCCCATTACTTGTGTCCCCAACCGCAATATTGCTGGAATATTGCTATAAGCGGCGTAAAACCGTACTCACTCACTCACTCACTACGACTGTCGGAAGTCAATGTTATAATATGGGTGTTATGGTAGTTTTAGCCCTTGCACTGTTTTTCTCTAGTGATCAAATGACATCCTCGGGAAACTTTCCCTTTTGATGATGTCGTACACTATGTCATTTTTTTGTAACAATAGTTTGAGTTTTGTGCACGTTCAGTGCCCAAGCGCTCTTGTTTCAGATAATCTTAGATTTATCTTTTAGATAAATATCCTTTGGTGAGACTTTAACAAATTGTAGACTTTACCATAAACTGATCAGCACGAATTAAGGTTGTGTTGGAGGCAGGCGGTAGCACAGTGGGTGAAGTGTTTGTGCGTCACGTGCCAAGAACCTGTTAAGGTTCAGAAGTAAATGAATATTTGAAACTGCGTGGTGCTGATCACAAGATTTAAGTGGAGAATTGGCAACTCCAATGACATGCTTTCCGTCATTTGATAAGATAAAAGCACATACTTGACGTAACCTGTATGTAATGTCAGAAGTGTGTAGGCTACCATCTGTTTATATCACAGGATATGTTGATCTGATTTTACCTAGAACATTGTGTCATAAAACAGGCCTCAAAGTTTAAATTTTTACCAAGTAGCCATATGGCTACAAGTTTATTTTTCCAGGTAGCCAGTGGAAAAATCATAACGTCAAGCCAATATTGTAGGTAGCCAAAAGCATTTGAAATTATCATTTATCAAATAACTAGTATAATATGTACAAGTCATAGCACTAGTCTTAGAATTGTACAATACTGGAAACTGTACTTGATTTTGTTATTTGTGACTCGAACAATGATGCAAT